ATTAATGATCTTAAACCATTAAGAATGACTACTTTTCAAACGATTTCTCCTGTTGAAAATTCAATTACAATTTATTGGTCAGAACCATTCCATCTTATGTTTATTGAATTATTCAAGAACAATTATTATTTAATTGTTACTCAGACAAATTTTCAACAATCAATAACAATAAACAAAATGATAAATCCATCAGATCGTTGTCAATATATAAGTGAATTATTTAATGAAACATTTGTTAAAATGCATCCTATTCGTCGTATCAAATATTATCATTTACCATGTCGAAGAAGTTTATCAAATCTTTCTTGTTTTTACGATAATGAACGTATTTGTTTCTGTTATGATTTTAAAAAAGAACGTTTAGCAAATTGTTTTGATTTTGATCACAATATGACATTTGATTGTTTAGGTCAGAGTGTTTGTGAAAACGAAGGTAAATGTTTTCAAGATAGTCCAGATTGTCCAAGGAGATCAATGTGCACTTGTCCAGACTGTTTTTATGGAGCACGATGTCAATTTAGTTCAAATGGTTTTGGTTTATCACTGGATGCTCTTTTAGGTTATCATATTCAACCAAATGTTAAAATTTTACATCAACCAATTATTGTCAAAATAAGTTTAACTGTAACTGTAATTCTTTTGATTATAGGATTTATCAATGGAATTTTGTCGTTAATGACATTCAAGAATCACTCTATTCGTGAAGTTGGTTGTGGATTGTATTTACTTGGCTCATCAATTACAACTTTACTTGTAACAGTACTACTTGGGCTCAAGTTTTTCATTCTTCTGCTTGCACAAATGATAATTATATCAAATCAATTATTGTTACAAATTCAATGTTTATCTCTTGATTTTCTTCTACGAGTGTGTCTTAGCATGGATCAATGGTTAAATGCATGTGTTGCGATAGAACGAGCAATTACAATAATACAAGCTACAAATTTTTGTAAGAGAAAAAGCAAGAAAACAGCTAAAATAGCCATTCCTCTTCTGTTGATTTGCATTATTGGTACTAATATTTATGATCCTTTTTATCGACGTTTAATTGATGAGGAAAATGAAGATGATAGACGATTATGGTGCATTGCTAGTTATCCATCTAATGTACAATCATTTAATTCTATTATACAAACATTACATTTTTTGGTTCCATTCATTATTAATCTAATAGCAGCTATTATTCTCATAACAAGAAAATCTCATCAACAATCAATTGTTCGAGCTAATTGGTCTTACATACAAGTTTTAAAAGAACAAATTCAACAACATAAACAATTATTCATTGCACCTGTTCTATTGGTCATTCTTGGGACACCACGTTTAGCTATTTCATTTATATCAAGATGCATGAAATCAACAAATGATGCATGGCTATTTCTTATTGGTTATTTTATTTCATTTATTCCACCAATGCTTACATTTGTTATATTTATATTACCATCTAACTTTTACAAACAACAATTGCTTACGACTTTCAACACTTTTCGAATGACAATACGAAGATTTTTCAGTTCTAATTTATAAAGGAGGCATGGCAAATTTCGCTTTCCAGAAAACTCAAAATTCTACAGATTAAAAACAGTCCATTTGAAATAGCTTTGAGAAAATTTTCAGTTTCTAAACATGAAGTTTAGAAATTCACACTTCTATCAAGATTAAATAAGGAATACACAAATGACATCTATATGTTTTTGAGTTGAATTGAGTCAGAAAATTCATTTTCCTATGATCATATATATATGCATATGTTTATATTTAAATATATGGGGTGTGGGTATTAGGTGTGGGCATGGACGTCTGGATGCCGGTGTAAATATGGTTACTCTTGCCATCTGCACACAAATCTAGGCACAACAACAAGGTCACTCCGCATCCACATCCTTCAAAAGAGTAGTCCTGCTTTTTTATGCTCCTTTGCCAAATTTCATTTACAATTAGCCAGATATTATCGATGGATGAAACTCTAAAGGAATCTGTAAAGATCTTATGTTCACTGTAAAAATGTTTTTCCATATTCCCGTACTCTCTTCCACGTGTCTGAAGATCAAAAAACTTTTTTTATTTCTAAAGGATCTATTTATATCAAATGGTCAGGGGTCCTTCACTGGTTATTGGTAGATAAAATTTTTTAGTAGGAATGCTGAATATGGTTAAAATTTTGTCAATATATTAGTCCTTCACTAACGAAAAAAGGCTATTTTAGACGACTATCTTACAAGTAACCAATTAGCCCGTGCTGTTCCGAAAGATATTACTTATGAAACATGTAGAGATTAGTGGTGTGCAGTTTTCGAGAAAGTTTTAAGTCGTTGCTCAATTGCTCTGTGACAAAGGACTTAGCACACTGGAGAATATCATTTGGACAATAAAAATCCTAGACCTATAGGAAACAACCCTTTTTAATTATACGACAGCAGCAATGAAACTTATCGATTTTAAAAAGTGGAAGAGCATCCATAACTGTGTTGAATTGTGTCTAAAAACGAAATTCATATACACTTATTCTAGATCATCATAAGGCCTACAATATCTATGAATACCATATACATTCCTATAGAATTACAACCAGTATGTAGGCCCTCGGCACATGAAAAATCAAGGGAAAGTTGACTTCCTATATACTGTTCGATGCGCCTTAAAATTCTCTACAAAGCTATATATAGAATGTTCTGGTTCTAAGTAGGTCACCAAATTCGATAGGGTCCTTTTTGAACAGTTTTCTCATCTGACAATTTTTATCTTTATTAAGCCAATGTTGAGAATAAATTGATGCTATTCCATATTCGATTGAAGGTTCCGCTATAAGAAATTGTTAATCACATTATTTCCACCTAAAGCACGTTTTAATTACGAATAAAAATGATCCACCACTTGAGAATGTCTGGGGGCGCAGTGACGTATGCAAGATTTTTCAGTATGCTGAATCTCGACTTTCGAGCATGGGACCCAGATGGAATTCTATCAAAAGAAATTTGCACTCGGAGTTTGCGAAAAAAAAATTACCATTTTCCTGATTCGCTCCCCTCCTCCAAAGGATTTTTTGTTGTTACTAGTATCACAGTTTTTAGAATTTCATAGGAAGCTATACCAAATTTCATCGACAGATTTCAAATTTCGTCTAAAAATATGCAACCGTTTAAGAGTTATAACTTTTTGAGCTTTTGCTACATGTAGAAAGAATTTTTGCAAAATTTCAAAAAGTCATGACTCTTGAACGCTTGCATAGTTTTAGATGAAATGTGAAATCTATCGATGAAATTCTATATAGCTTCCTCTGAAATTCTAAAAACCATGATACTACTAATAGCAAAAAATCCTAGAGGCGAGATCAGGAAAATGCTAATTTTTTTTTTCGCAAACTCCGAGTGCAAATTTCTTTTGATAAAATTCCATCATTTGGATCCAATATCTTGAGGGTGTGGGTGTGGGTGCGTATCTTCTCTTCACTACAACCACACTTCACTTACACCCGCGCACACATCCATTACAAGTTCATTGTTTGCATTTATACTAAGTAGTTTTATTATAATTAAAGCATTCACCATATTCTCTCCCTAACATTCTAATTAAGAATTGAGTCTCGAAAATTTTGTCCATCTAAAAGCAAAACAATTGTTTCTGTCCATGAGTACAGAGAAAAATTGAATGCTTCTACCCCAGAAAATTCCTGTATAATATACAGATACCCGTTGGTTGTGTACTGAAAATACGTGAAGTAGACGATCGAAATCTATCTGCAAAGTCCATAGGCATTCCGTATAAACTGCTTGGTAATAAAGAAAGTCTTTGTTTTATTTTGTGTATATATATATATATCAGATATTGGTAAAGCTTTCAGAAAGTAATGCTATTCAATCTAAATAGGTTTTTTCTATAATACAAGAATCTGATTGAAAGCAAAGTATTGAAGAAAATCTTTTCTCAGACAAATCTATCATAGAACTTGATCATGAAAATCGAACAAAGATGTTGACTGATTCACACATGACTATCGAAATCCGTACTTAAAAGCAAATCAGTTGAATTATTGGTCAAAATCTATCGGTGAGAAGTTGAACACATGAGAATCCCAAAATACATTTTTCATGGAATATGATCCAAAAAGAATGTTGAAGTATGTAGGACTGAGATTAGAATACTCCCAATCCCATTCACCCTTGAGATCACATTGAATCATAATAAGAATACGACGTACTTGATTAGATCTGTTGTGGATAGAAAAAAAAACTTTTCATGTAGTATAGAAAAAATTAAAGAAAGAGAAAGAAAATTGACTTGAACAGAAACTAAAATATTTAAAATATGCTTTAGTTTTTCAGTACTATTGAGTAATTACATGGCATTCATATTGAGCAATACTATGTGAGTTCACAATATACATAAATAGAGGAGAAAATGAGCCATAAAATAAAACGAGCCTTGCAAGAATGCGATTGAGAAGAAAAAAAACCAATGATTACAAACATAAATTTAGCTCTCTTTTTCAGATGAATCGAAACCATTTTCTGTGAAATATCAATTTGTGTATTAACCATTCATTATTTACAAGTTATTCTGTTCCAGCAAGACTATCGAATCGTATCAAATTAAATAAAATCAAACAACAAGATGATTTAATCTTAATTGAACCAGGTAGTTTATGAAGTACAAATAAATGTGATGAAATTCTAACGAATATTAACAAAGAAGAATTCGAAAATATGAATAAGCAATATGATAGTCAAAAACGAAATAATTGGCGATTAATAATTATCGATTTGTTCGAACATTTTGATGTCGTTTAAAATTTAGTCATCGAATAACAAAATTAATTTCAAATCTGAAACCATTAGGTTTTAATGTTCAAGGCACATGTGAAATGAATGGTGTCAATAGAGCAATGAGATTAAATAAATATCATGATGACGAATATTTTTCACTACATAAAGATGCACAATATGCACCTAGTGGTGATCAACAATCATTACTTAGTTTAATTATTTATTTAAATGATCATTATGAAAAAAGGTGAAACAAAATTTTCTTTTCCAAAACAATCACCAAAATATTCTATCAAAGGATTAACCAATAAAGAAATTGAAGTTTATGGAGGATTAGATCATGACTATGAATGTATTACAATAAAACCAAAAAAAGGTTATGTTGTTCTGTTCACACATAATCTTTTACATAAAGCTATAGCACCAGAAATAGATAATTCTAATGATGTCAAAGAATGTGTCGTATTAAGAACCGATGTAATTGTTAAACGAAAAGAAAACCCATTAAGATTTGCAATAACACCCGAAGAACAAGATGATTATCATGCATGTTTTAATTGTTTTCGTGAAGCAGAACAACTCGAATTAAAAATCCATAGTGATTATAGTCAATCAGTAAACAAAATCTATGTCGAAGAATTATATGAACGTTCTTTTTCTATTCAATATCGTTATCCACATATATTTCAATTAAAGTCAGAAGAATCGATTATAAATCAAGATGAACAAAAACAATTGATTAAACAATTACCAACTGAAATGTGGCTTTCTACATCTAAACATTTAAATAAACAAGATATTCAACATTTAGTATTTGCTTTTCCTAATTTTTAACTTGAGTTAAATAAAAAGATAAAACAAAACGACAGCCAACGATCGATCTAGATCATAGTGTTCATCGCATTTCCATGACTAATCGTCATCAATCATAATTTATTGGTTAAGATCCTTTATCACGTTTTGATTTTAAAACAAAAAAACTTAAAATGTGAATCAGATGATGAAGAATCTAATTCAGACGACATGAATAGTGATCATCGAATTGATGAATTTGATGAGCTAGATATTCTCGCTCATCAACGATCACATCCTTTGAAGAATAGAAGAGAAAAACTTGTTGATCAATATTTAAATACGAATGATGACGAAGGATGGGAACCCTGGAAAACATTTAAAGGAGATAAAATATTAGGCTATCGTGAACATTTATTAAAACAAATCAAACAAGATTCGAGTGTAAGTCTATGTCGAATGATATCTGCAGACAATCATGTTATAACCACACTTTGTCGTTGTAGTCTTTTTACATCAGACTTCAGCAAAATCAAGAATTCAATTGTCTATTATAATCATCTCATATTCGATTTTGATACACATGAATTGGTGGTTGAACGTTTATCAAATGAACTTCTGCGTCATTCGAACTATGATTCTCTTTTGTACGATTGTATTCGAACATTAAAACGTTTGGTTCTACAAGAAAATTCAATTTTATTCTGTTAGGGTGATATTAAAAAGTTGGCTGAAACAAAAAAAGGTTTCAATCATGCATCATGTCGATGTTCTTATCCAGCAATTGAAATCGATTAATTTTCGTTTCTTGATTATACATATTTATTACATGTTCACTTAGCAATTAGTCAAAATAATGATCATGTATTTGTTTTAGCAACATATGGTGAAGTCACTGCTTTATAATTTATGAAGAAGATCTATCGATTTTTATGACATTGCACTTTCAAGATGAAGAAATAATGTTCATCAACTCTGTATAAAGTTTTACCTGTAATACTCAAAGAGAAATATATTAATGTATTATTTTCGAACGATGATAATACACAAAAATATCTTATCCGATTTTAGACATGGATATGAATGCGTTAGACAAAGTAAAACCGTCAATCAATTTCTAATCCCATACGTTCACACTAACGTTCACATATTCCATTCCTACAATCTTATACCGTATAATGTCTACATATTAAAAATATAAACTAGAATATACATGAGAAAAACATTTCAATATATTTGTATGAATTACCTGCAAAAGATAAAATACAGATTTGACAATCGAGTTCATCAACACCAATTCATCACCGTCTAGATCTGATAATAGTGAACATAGAGTTGATAAATATGACAGAACGAAGCCATGTGAGAGATATAGATGTGGATACAAGTATAGATCTTCTCTTCAAGAACATGTATAGCTAATCTAATGAACAGTTACATTTCAACAATATCCACATCAGCACAACTACAATCTTCTTAAAATCCATACAATTTCAAATCTTTTCTGAAGTTAAAGCTAGGAAATTTTTCGGAATGCATCATTACTTATATCATTCGATATTTTTCCTTAGGGTTACGAAACAACTTTTGATTTTCTATTAACATCAACAGAGTATACTTGAATATAGGTTAAAATTGAAAATAAGTGTCCGAAATTTCGATTCGAATAGTTTTATGCCTGTATCTCTCGTAGATACTTTGATATCGAGATACTGAATCTATATCTTTCAAGAGAAATACATAAGCCATCTATCAAAAAAAGTTGCATTCAATTAACATGAAATGTGCACGAGTACTGCATGAATAAAGATTTCTCTAAGCCATTTTTTACTTTTTCTTTATAATGAATTACTCTCTCACTAATTTTTTAAAATATTTCTCTTCGTTTTTGATGGTTTGACTTAGATTTCTTTTCAATAGTATAATTTTCAACATGTTTTGTCAGAAAAAGAGAAATAATTAAGTAATTTTGTAAAACAAAAGTATTTGTAAAAGTTAATTTTTTGTTTTGCAATGTAATACTGGTGAATAGATATTATTTTTTAGTCCTCGTTTCGTATTATTAATTCTATTGAGTTTTTTAGACAACTTCACAGGTTACCTTTTGAAAATAAGTTTCAAGCTAAATCATCAATAATTAAGTGGAATATTCATAATATATATTGCTATGGTAACTTATTGTTGAGAAAAAGTAAAAAATGACTGTGAAAAAAATTTTTGTTTCAAAATTTTTTTCCGTACAATACTTGCACAGGTTTCACACTAATTCAACGCAATAGTTTTTTTTTGGATTGATAGCTTAGATGCTGCTCGTCATCGTTTAAAAGTTATTTAAAGTGCATTCAAAATAAGGAGAATTTATGTCACCTAAAGATTGCAGTAATCTTTTTTTTTTCTAAAATAAAATAACTTTTAATTAAAATTTTTCTAAAAAGTTATTTTTCTATATGAACTGACGTTTGATCAAATCTTTAAAAGTTGTCTATCAAATTTAAGAGTTTTAGATCAAGCAAAAACATGAATTGAATATTAACAACAATTTGAATTAAATAAAAAATTGATTTTCGTTATATTTCAAAATGAGCACCACAGCTTACATTACACCTACATTCTTGTTACTTTTTTTTTCTCATTTAGCAATAAAATATTTTTTTGTTATTGTTCTATTCAAAGTTGCCAGATGTGAGAACCGAAAATTTGAATTGCTTACATTAAATGTTTCTCAAGAAAAGTATTAATAATATTTATCTAAATTTTTATAAAATATATTTCAATAAAAAAAGAAATAGAATAAATATCGAAATGTTTCTACAAATACAAACTGACAAACCATACATTTAGATATCAAACAATGTGTTATTTTTTCGAACAATATTGTTCACTAAAAATAATAAGTTTCAATAGTTCAACTGGAAAAGCTCTGTTGAGATGTAATTTGTTTAATGATCGTATATTGTTCTTTTATTTACTGTCGTTAAACAAAAGAACAAAGAGAAATATGTATGTAAGAATCAATAAAAAAAAAATTTAGTCTTTTGAAATGTCTTATATAAGAAAGAATCAAATGTAGTTTGAATCAGTAATAAAATTTTGAAAATATAAACAAACAGATGAAATATAATTAAAATACAAAAAAACTAGCTGATATTTGAAAAACTGTAAATGCAACACTTTTCCTAGAGCATGTCTTGGAAATTTCCAACATCTTGGAGAATTGGGTTTTTTTTTATATCATACATGCTATAAAAGAGCAAGCAACTATCTTCGTATGAGTAATCGGAAGAACGCAAAAGTATTACAGAGAAAATGAAGTAATGGTGAGCTGAAGATTTTTTTCTTTTTCGTTCTGATATGTTGCACAAGTAGAATAAATCGAGAGAAGGATGCATAATAAAGACAGATCCATTAAGTAACTTTTCCCAATCGTTAACTATTTAAGTTAGTTTTATATAAAACTATAAAACGTAACCGATTTTTATTGTAGAACAACAGAAACATCATCTACGCACTTAGTCTTTACAATTAAAAACAAGAAAGGTAAAAAAAAAACGTTTAGTATTATTTCCCTGTGAGAGAGAGATGAAGGTCTTATGAATCATCGCATATTTTTTTGTGATTCAACAAAACAACTTCACGTAGTTTTATAGATCACATGGATGTTAAGTGAATATGAGTATATGCATAGATAATGACTTATATGCACTTACATCACTACTAACACTATTATATATCGATAGTTTCTCGTAAAAAAAAAGTTTCTTCTTTAATATATGAAAGTACTTTGTAATTTATGTAGCATTATAAAATTTGAAATGGCGACTCGTATAGTATAAAAAATAGGGTAGAATCGATAACAATGTCAATATTTTGTTCATATCTTTGTCAGTTTTCATCATTCAGATTCACTACATGTATGCTTTGGGTTTCTTTATTAGAACGTAAGAAAATTTAACCAATAAAGTTACACGAAGGTTTCGAATTCTTCTCACAAGCATTTATAATATTAATTTACTGTTGTTTTTATCATCACATATTTGTATCTAGTTTTTACTTACTAATGTTTTGTAAATAATTCTCTATAACACTATATTTTTAGAGATTACTCCTGAGAGCAAAGAAATTTATCTCTTCGAAAACTGTGTTTTACATATTTTTCTTTCATTTATATTATCAATAATCAACAAATACGCTAAACAACAATTAATGGAAATTTATTGCAAAACAAATCATACTTCTTTTCTCTTCAAAAGGTATGTAACGAAAGGAAATGGAGACACGTTAAGATAAAATCAACAGTAAATTAAATATAAAAATTTCTTTTCAAAAAAATACAAGAACTTCTATAGTTGTAACATTAGTCAACACCTATTTTTTACACAACGTTTTCTTTCCGATAGTGACAGTTATTCATCAAATATACTACGTAGTAGAATCTATTCATTTTTCCGCGTCAAAGAATAATTTTCACGAAACAAAATAAAATATATGTTGAAATTTTTCTGAATCATCACAATTTAATATTGTATGATATGTGAGCTTTTTTCTCAAGAGTGAATCAACATTAATTGAAAATGAATATCAATTAGATTATTTTGGTTGATATGTTCCAACTTTTCTCTTACATTATTTATATATATGTATTGTTTCTATGTAAGTGTGGAATTGGAAAGACTTAAGAATGTGATTCAAATAATCAAAACCTAATGAAATTGTTATGTATACACAACAATATTTATTATCGAAAATAATAGTTTGAAATGATCTAGGTAGACATGTTAAACCGCAAAGTTTTGGGTATCCAAAACCATGTGTTTTAATATGCCTAGCTGTTGGTAAATACAACGTAATATACGACATTGTTTCATACAAGGTCAAACAGATAATAATAGCTCCCTCAAAGTTAACGCAATTACCGTGAGAAAAAAAAGCAATTACAATAAACTACTAACAGTCGACTGGATTTTTAAATAATAGTAAAAGATTAAAAACTTTTTAACTTGATTTTCGAATTAGACGTAAAACATATAGGCTGTTTCACTACTCAAAATTAATAAAAAGACGATGTTCCAATATTTTGACAGCAAGAGAAATTAAATAATTCAACTTTTTCCATTCGAGTTTATAGATCTAAATCTATTCCTTTAGACTTCAATAATGAATCAAACGCCAACTGATTCACGAAATGATATAATAACAACTGAACATCAACAGCAACATATTGCAGGTCAAAAAGAAAAGTATATTCAAAAACGCCTTGTTTTATTATTACATGCATATAAATGTCAACGACATGAAATAGCATCTTCAAATACATGTACGGTACCATATTGCAGTACTATGAAAAATGTACTACAACATATGATAAAATGTGATAAATATAGGAGCTGTACATTTACTCATTGTTTTACTTCACGTCAAATTATTTTACATTGGAGAGAATGTAAGAATTCTCAATGTTTAATTTGTCAACCACTTCAAACACGCACAAATTTAGTGCAATTAAATCAAACAACAAATAATACTAATGATAGTTTAATATCAATACCAATACCAATAACAATTGATAAAGATTGGCAAAGACAATTAACACAAGAAACCCGTCGTGCTTATATACAAAAAACTATAACAGCAATTAAATCGATAATAGATGCAGAAGTTATGCGTGATACAAGCATTAATAGTTTAGATGATTATATTCGACATATTGAAGATGAAGCATTTAGAGTTGCTAATAATGAAGAAGAATATCTTCGTAAATTAGCTGAAACAATCTGTAAAATTCGGAAGAAATTAGATGATCGTCAAGAAAAAAGACATTTACAAGAAAACGTACGTTGAATTTCATAAACGTAACAATTACATAACAATGAATATAAAGGATTTTTTGTTTTGAAAAATAGGTAGTGTCAAACATTATAAAGTTTTGAGAAGTGTTGAAAATTTTAGTGTATTTACACTTGTAATTTTTCAAATTTTCATTTTCAATCTGCTAAATATTGTTATTCCACTAATCATATTGAAATTCATCGTGGTATTATAAATAATCAATTTTAATAAACATCTATTATGTTGATTATATAGTTTTGTTTAGATGAGCTAATAAAATTATATAATCATTTGTTGAAAATCACTAAATTAATTAGTTTCTGATCTCAAAATAAGTTTTCTAAATCAAATAATATGATTCTTTTATTAACCTAATGTATAGGAAGTGATAAAACTTTTCATTTGAATTTATTCTGATATTTTATTATAAAACTGTTAGCGTAGATACATACATATATGTATATATATCAATTGAATCATTCTATCTATATTTATCTAAACGATAATCATTTAATCAACATGTATAAAGTGAGATTTAGACATAAGAAATCGATTAAACTTAAATCATATTCAGTAGTTAGGAATATTCGTTTAATAGACATTTTAATCTATCGGAAAAGCTAATAAAAATTTAAATAGCAATTTCACCAAAGAATTTCATTTCTGACATCAGTTTATGAGGATGAAAATGTTTGCTAGTTGTCTCAAGAATAGAATATCTGAAAAACTCAAATTTTTTACATGTTAGAATTTTACAAAAAGAAGTGCAGAGAATGATTGAATAAAATCATTGTACATAAAATGAAATGTTTCTCAGTTCTCTATGACATTTTTTGAGTAAGACATATGGACCTTTGAAAAGGCACAAGCGGTTTTATCATACCAGGTAATTGGAAAACAAACAGCTTCTGCGCCTTCGTAATATCTATATATATATGTATCAGTCAAAAACATTCTTAAAAACTCGCAAGATATTCCATTTTGTATGTTTTGCTTTGTTCTCCATCATTCTTAATGATTTATTTGTAAATTCTTTAATGTAAAAACTTGCTTTTAAGTTATTTTTTAGTGATCCTAATCTTGGAAACTTGGCAGTTATGTATTTCTATCTTCGAGATCATAGATGCAGTGTCAAGGTTTCGATTTATGGTTTTCTTAATATGTGTTACATACAGATGTTTGAAGTGACGTAGTGGATGAAAACCGAATGTTGAACATCGCTTACCCGTACCCTGCTTGAATCTCGAATATTTCCTTGGTTCTTGTGATTGTTTGGGTTTCATGATTTATGAGAATTTCTAAAGTTCTGCTGAATTGTTAGAGATAGCTACTTGTTTTTTTTGTTAATGTTTGCCTTTTGAATTCACAGAACCAGAACACGTCTCATTCTTATCTTTTAATTTAGGCTTCAACATTGGAAAGAATAGAAACAATACATGAGAATTATTCTCATTTATCTAAAGACTCATCATCGTCAACAACAGTGATTGAAACTCAAATTAAATCATCAACACATGTTGACAATGAACATAAAAAAACTGAAATCAATGCATCAAGTAAACAATTACCGAAACATCCGGTACAATTTACCCCTGAAGATTTACGTACACATCTCGAACCTATTATTAAAAAACTGCTCGATGATAAAGATTCACATCCATTTCAACAACCCGTTGATCCAATTGCACTTAATATTCCGGATTATCCAATAATAATAAAGCATCCAATGGATATTTCAACAATGTATAATAAATTATTACGTGGAGAATATAAAACTCCATTAGAATTTTGTGATGATGCATGGCTTATGTTTAATAATGCGTGGTTTTATAATAGAAAAGGAACATCTATCTATAAAATGTGTACAAAACTTTCAGAAATATTTGCTGAAGCTATTGATCCTGTTCTACAAAAATTAGGCTATTGTTGTGGTCGACAATATGTATATTTATCACAAGTTATGTTTTGTTATGGAAATCAATTATGTTGTCAAATACTACATGGTAGAAATTTTCATTATTATAACAATTTGGATCCTTCACGATTAAATTTATCCTATAATACATATACATTTTGTGATCAATGTTTTAATTCAGCAAAAGGTAATTCAATATTTGTCGGTGATGATCCAAATCAAACATTAATTGAAATACCAAAATCATTATTTTCATCAGCTAAAAATGATACTGAAGAACGAGAAACAATGATTGATTGTATTGTTTGTACACGTCGATGGCATCAAGTTTGTGCTTTACATTTAGATCAAATATGGCCTGAAGGCTTTATATGTCATACTTGTATTAGAGAATATAATATAAAACCTAAAGAAAATCGTTATATTGCATCAAAATTAAAAATAACAGATTTAGCATCAAGATTAGAAAAACGTGTAAATGATTTCTTATATTATGAAGGTTGTCAAACAGGCCATGTGACAATTCGAGTATTAGCTGCAAATGATAAAATATGTGAAGTAAAACCACGTTTGAAAGATCATTATCCAAATCATGCTTATGTTGGTTATCCATATCGAACAAAAGTTATCTTTGCATTTCAAGAAATTGATAGTGTTGATGTTGCTTTTTTTGGTATGTATGTACAAGAATATAATGGACGTTGTCAAGCACCAAACACAAAACGTGTTTATATATCTTATTTGGATTCTGTCAATTTTTTTCAACCTAAACATTATCGTACAAGTGTTTATCATGAAATATTAATTGGATATTTGGATTATGTGAAACAACTTGGATATGTTTATGCTCATATATGGGCATGTCCACCAAATGATGGTGATGATTATATATTTTATCGTCATCCATGTGAACAACGTATCCCAAAACAAAAACATTTGCAAATTTGGTATAAAAATATGTTTGATAAAGCTATTTTACAACGTGTTGTTGCTAATTATGAGGTAAAGAAATAAGCTCAAGAATTTCTTTAATTGAATAGTCACCAAGAAAAATAGGCATTACTTAGTCAATAAATTGATAAAATAAATTATTGATGATACGATATTCATTACTAGTACAGAATAGAAAATTATTATTACTTTAATTATAAGAATCAATTACAATCAAAATACCAGTAGAAGTTTCGGTTGATCTCGTCTTCTGAAGTAGTGCATCTATAATTTTTATTTAACATTTTTTTTGTTTTTGGAAAAATTCTTGATAATTTCTTGAACTTGAAAAATATGTTTCTTTTTATATGGACTATATTTTTAGTTTTTCTAATGGTGTATTCCAGCGCTCTTGAACGAGTTCTACGGGAACTCGTTGTTTTTATTGTTTGAAAGAGAATGTGAAGTTGAAATGTCTATTTTTTTGAATTAAAAGTTTTTTTAATATCAAGTAAACATGTATAGGATTTGATCTGCAGAAAATTTTGATTTAGTAAATGAGCATTGTTTTTTACTTTCGTCCTTTGAATATCGTCCAAGAAAATATTACAGTATAAGGCTGACAATTTTTACTCGATTAAATAAATACGAATTCTACACTCAAATATATTTGAATACTATATTTTATTATTATTTATTTAGGATATTATGACATACTGTTTGCATAATTCAGTACAAACTGTTTTTAATATTCCATATTTTGAAGGTGATTTTTGGACAAATGCTATTGAAGAAAATATTAAAGGTACCCGTGTTTCGTTTTTGATTAATAATATAAATGAAATTTTATTGGATTTTATTATTTAGAACTTGATCAAGAAGAACAAAATAGAAGGAAACAAGAAATTGAAATAGGACTAGAAGTGAAAGATAATGATTTAGATGATACAACTGAACTAGAAGATTCAACAAAGGTTAGTTGAAATGACATTTCTTTTTGTATATAAACATTACTTTTATTTTAATAAAGATTTCCGTCAAGCATAAGTCGGCGAATACTTGCACTATAAAAAATGTGAAGAAAACAAAAAGTCAACGAAAACTAGCAAAAAAACAAAAAACAAATCATAACAATTTAATATCAAAAATACGTACAGTTATGAAAAAGCACAAAGAGGTAAAATACTAAAAAGAAAGTTGAAGAAAAATCTATTGAATTCGATATAAATTTTGATTAATGCTTTGTGCATTTGAAAAAGATTTTCTAAGAAAGGTTCATGAGAACATTTTCATTGTTATATTATGAGAAAAAAAAAACTATGCTAACAAGTATAACTATCTAGTTATATTAGGAAAATTTCAGATTCAAAAAAATTTTAAAAGGTGTTTTCAAATAAATAAAACTATATGTGCAAAGTTGAACTGTAAATTTTGTCCAGAATATTTCAAGAAGGCAAACATTCATATTTTTCTTAGTCTCGAATTCCTTATATTATGTAGAACTATAACTTATGAGTTGAACTGGTTCTCGTATCACATATATAATGTGAGTTCTTTTTTCGTTCATGAATTAATAAATAAATTCATATCCATGGAAAAAAATCACGCTTTTGAGGTGAGATTGTGTGTATTATGTAAATCGAAAGCAGCTAATAGTATTCAACAAACAGAATTGGTAACCCGTAGTTGAGTGCTATGGGAATACAACACGTTAAATGAATGTCATATTCTGAAGAAAAATTATTTTTGAATTTCGATATGAAACTGTACAGAAATAGATCTGAACGAAAATATATTGAGATCTATTCGCTATTGCTATTCTAATAAATAAGTATGAAAAATGTGTATCTTTTACAATAAACTATTCACTTAAAGACTTTTTGCCTGTAAAATTCTTCAAATCAAAATTCAAATAAGAGTTTTCCTAGGAACATGACATTTATCTGAAATGTGCGTGTTTTTTTCTCAGTAATAAGTTAAAGTTTCGAAAAGATTTCGAAGCATATACATATCTTATTTAAATTTAGAAAGTGTGCATTGTCTCAATTGAAAAGTATGTTATCAATTAGGCATAGTTTCTTCAGTAGAATTCAGGATCACATATGCATATTGAATATCAGCACTAATACAAACAACATATCTATCCTACGAATACAGCTTAGGTAATCTTATTATAACATCTAAGTTTGTTGGACAAACATTTTGAAATTCTCTTAAAATACATCTAAAAGCTAATTTCTTTTGTATGTATGAAGTTCGTGGTGAAGAAAAATTTTTAAATAATGTAGAGTAAAAGTCATCACTTCATTCAGATATCGAGTTTCAATATAAGATAGGCTTATTTAAATTTTTCTATTGATGGTTTTTCAAGATATATCACACTTTGTATTGATAAAAACTTTTCAGTACTCTACAATCGACCACCAAATAATTACTATTTTGTAAATAAAAAGTTGAATTCAGACAGAAAAATTCTCTCTTCAGTCATATTTTCCATAGATGCACATTGTTGTTCATTTCTAATAAAAGAAAAATCTAAATTTCATTAAAATATTTTTATTCAGCAATTCTTTGTTGTTCATCTTCGTGATCCAAATCCAGCAGATCCAGCTGAAAATGATACCGATTCATTAATACCATGTGAGCTAATGGAAACACGAGATGCATTTTTAAATTTTGCTCGTGATAAACATTATGAATTTTCATCGTTGCGTCGTGCAAAATTTTCAACAAGAGCTTTATTATATGAATTACATAGATTAACAACAGATAAATTTATATATAATTGTAATATATGTCAACAACAATGTGATATACATTATCATTGTGCAATGTGTGAAGATTTTGATCTATGTGAAAAATGTTATAATATGGAGCCCAAGCATGAACATAAAATGGAACGTTTTGTTTCATCCTTAGTTGAATATTGTGATCGTAACTCTTCAAATCGAAATGATGAATCTGTCGTAAATTTACAATTACAACGTCAACAATTCATACAGCGTTGTATTGAAGCCTTGTTACATGCTGTTAATTGTCGAGATGCTAACTGTCTTAAGCGTGATTGCTTTCGTTATAAGTGTTCTATACAACATTGCAATGAATGTCAAAGAAAAAATGCTCAATGCAATATATGTAAACAAGTTATATATCTTTGTTGGCATCATGCGAAAAGCTGTATGGATCAAACTTGTCAAATACCATTTTGTATAAGTTTAAAAAGTAAAATGCAAAAACAACGAATGACTAGTTTGCAAACAGATCGTCGTCGTATGCAAGCTATGATGCAACAAAGAACGAGTATAATGCAAGAACAACTTCAAGGTAGACTAATGGTTTTTACAGTTAAAAAAATAGTAAAAATCAATCATACGATAAAAATATTAACTGAAGAAGGTTGTTATCTATCAGATGTAGAGACTTATGTGATTTTAAAAAAAGTATTACTGTTGGATAGTGATCATATGATAGTCTTCTCAATAGTTTGAACGATTTTCATGAGCTACAGAGTCACTCAGAATTGATGGTGTGCCTAACAGATGATCCTTTTCTGTCTAAAATCATTACGAAAGCTTGAAGTATGGAAATGCGAATTTTATCTATGTCAAATATCATCTTTGTATTCAATAAAACAAATGAGCACATAGATTTTAATTTCGCAGTAATATATTTCGTATTTCAGGATGTCAAATGTGAAACAATTTTCTTGTTCATCGTTACAAAATACGTTTTCTGTTCATAGTTTAGAAGAAAACTATATTCGAAAAAAGTAAACTCAAAATTATGTCCTACGTAAAACAATACTTAGAGTTTTTTTAAATAATATTTGCAAAATCGTCACATGTTTTTATATGAAACATTCGATTATTGTCTAACTTAGTGAATTTAAAGCGAAAATATTTGTGATTATTAATAAGATATATGTTTTATTTCTTTTTTCAGTAATATTTAAGTGCTTGTTTTTCACCCATATGATGCTTTCAAGGGTTGATGAAGTGTCCTATCGTACAATTTCATAGGTCGTAGAGGACTCTGTTGGAAAGGTTTTTAATAATGATATCGTAGCAAAACATAGTGAGTGATTGTCGATACTTTCCACAACCTTGTTTTAAAAAGTTAAAAATATCATCAACAGCACTTTTTCATAAATCTTTTGATACTTTTTTACAGTTTGTCTGATGCTGTTAACTTTTAAAGATGCTGTTATTCTTAATTTTATGCTTTCTATAAGATTAATTTTTAAAAAAGTTTCAAACAAGTTTTCTGATACCTATAAAGTCTTACTTTAGTTAACTATATGATATCAATAAGTATAAAGAGAAGAATATACAGTTATTATAAATCTCTGATAAGAAATCAAAGACCTATGTTTGAAACGAATATTCTAAAAGATAATTTTTCTTTTAGTATCAGTTCCTCCGGTGTATGCTGATAGAATATCAAATCCTTTCCATGCATTGAGTTATGATACTTCTTCACCAAATTCAAAAATAAATAACTCACCAGGTAAACCATCAGTAGTACCCATTCGTACGCCTCAATATTCTACTAATTGGCATAATCTATCTCAACAGCAATCATATATGATGGCACAAACAACTTGGAACAGTAAACCGCATGGTAAATTAACTCAATCACAATCAACAATTCAATTAAATGCATTAATAAATCGAGCTAAGCAGGATTCATTAATGGATGAACAACAGCAACCATAATCGTATTCAACAAAATATCAGCAACAATGCTATCCATCCCAGGTCGATCGTTCCGGCCACCGGATATTGCAGGAACCGGCAGGAAAATGCGGGAAAAATCACCGTATCCTGCAGGAAAACACCGGAAATAGCCGGAACATGGAAGCAGTAGTCCGGCCGGAAATTCTCCGGATTTTTTCCGGTGAATTCCGGCCAATTTCCTGTGTTTTCCGGCAGGAACCGAGAGGAAAATCAGCGGAAAAAATTCCGAAAATTTCCGGCCGGAATACTGCTTCCATGTTCCGGCTATTTCCGGTGTTTTCCTGCGGGAACCGGCCGGTACTTTTCGACCTGGGATCACTAAACTATACTGCAGCTACGAGTACTGTTTATATATCTACTATGCTACAACAAATTCAAAGTCAACCAACACAACAAACACTTTTATTACGATTAAGATCGAATTCCTCAACAATGTCACCAATTTATATATCATGAACAGCTTCAACACCGACTCTAATTCGGCCATCATTGTAAAGACCATCGCAATTTCCCTCTTAACAACAACGATTATGAAATCTATTTCCATGTTAATGTGCTTCGTTTATCTGATAAGTGAATAATAAAACTCAATGATAGAGCATTGAAAAAGAAATCGAACGAGATTTATTCTTAGATATGTTTCACGATACATTTTTGAAATGTTTCATGTTTAAGTAGCAAATATGCGAATTTAAGGAATGGTACCGATATTATTAAATTCTAGCGGTGAATCCTGGAATATTTTTTTCCTATATATACTGTTCACTTGAATTGCCCTCTTTAATTCTGCTAGATTTTATCATTCTGTATATCATATGATTATATTCAATATGGATTATTTGTTGAACACATAAGCACTCTACGTCCCAGAGCCTCAATGAAGCAACAATTTTGAAGGCTGGCCTGTTTGATGATTCTTTTTCGATACGAAATGTTTATCTGATAAACTGGAAATGTCACTAGCAAGTAGGTATCATAGAGTACGCGTATCGTTCAAAATTGATAATTTTTTGTCTTCATTGCAATTGATCAAAGTTCTGACTAATAACAGATTCAAGTTGCACCGTTTGCTTTCTCTTTGCGTCTTGTTAAGTGTGGTTTGTTTGTTGTTAATCTTTTATTATAGCTAAGTTCAAATTCTGCAATTGTTCTTTATAGTAAAGTGACTGATTATAATGTTTCGCCTTTCCTCTCTACTGATTCTTCTCCAACAAGTTCACAAGTAAATCAACAGTTGACAAGATTTTCAATCACAAATTTGTGAATACTAAAATATAAACGATAAAGATTTATGACGTATGAAAATGATTAACAAAATGAACTAGATAAATATTTTAGATTGACGACTGATAATATTTATAAACTATCTAATCCATTACCATTCCAGAAATATCAAGAGAAATTTGTCTCTTGAACATTACCTACTCGGTGACTTTTTTCAATATCAGTTACTTGAACTAAAGTAGAACGTTTTTTTTTTCTGCTACAAATTTAGCAGTAACTGAAGGTTGGTTTCCTTTCACTTTGCTTTAATATTGTTGTCTTTCTATTTATTTTCTTTTGACAAAAAATGTTCAATCAGTGAATAATTCAACTAATTAATTGGGATTGATTTAAATGATATACGTATTTCACTGTATGCAAGTATATACTTGTTTCCGATATATATGATCGTAGGATTCGTTCAAGTGTAATCTATTTCACTATCTTGATAATTATAAGATAGTAATTGTATAAATGGAATGTTTATTCTCATTTCATAATTTTATACACAATCAAAACCGATAGAATAGCTTTTCATTATCAAGTTTTGTCAAGAAAATGCCCATTCTTTCAGAAAAGATTTTGACAGGCAACGAAAGAATTCCTTGTTCTTTTCTTTTCTTTTCCTACATTGTTTAAGTAGCCATGAATTACTTTAGTGATACATATACTCTTCGATTGAAATATGACACTGATAGTTTTCATCTTTATTTAAATAAAAGATTTCATGCAGAATTCTTTGCCATTTATTCTTGAATTAACCATGAGGCAAAAATGTGCTAAACATGAATGTGCCATTTCGATTTTCCAATGAACAGATGACATCGAGTGTCATATACCATATCATCCAAAAAAATTTAACATATGTCAAGACTGTGTCCAGAGTAACAACTTTTGATACGTTTTGTTTGGTGCTATAAAAAGAATTTTTTCTATTAATTATTTTCATTATTTTAAGAGAAGAAAAGTTAGTGAACATAAATTTCTTAATCAAATAATAACAAGCCAAACAGATCAGTTATTTGATGCACATTCAATCATGGTAACAAATATGAACGAAATGATTCTCAATACGACAATCATTACGTCTATCACAGAAACATATGATAGTCAAAGGTACAAACGTTACCTTACGTATGTAGTATTATAAATATTCCAAGGATTATCTTTTATTGCCTATATTATCGTTGGTTATTATTTTCTTTTGTCACCAAACGAATTCAAAAAGACATTTAGTTTCCATGTTATTTTTCATGTTACTTGTAGTTGGTTTTATTGAATTATCTGTTTCTCTTTCGTTAGCTCTTGAGTATGTGGGTGCCATCTCTCATCACAAAATAATATGAAACTATCCTTCATCTTTAGCAATGCTAGAAAATATAGACATCATGTTTACATTCATAAGTTCATTTCGACTTTATTATTCTTTATTTGATAAAAATGATGGGGCTTTTGTTGTTTTTCGTGTGATATATAACATGGAGCAAAATACATGTTAGAACTACATATGTATAAATGAGAAACAGACTAGAAGAAAAACGAGAAGAAAAATATGTGGTTAATTTAAGCTACATATACATACAACATATGTCAGTATATACAGTTTATCCTAGATTATTTTAAGGGATCAGTCTACGTTCCATATTTGACCATTTGTTCGTCTAGCTTCTAATGGTAGAATGAAATATATATATATATATATGATGTGATATGCTTAGTCAAATTAAAAGAAATAGTTCCTATTAAAAGGGAATCAAATACTCGAATTTGCAAGAAAGGTTTATGGTGAACAGATGTCAATTTAAGAAATCAATAGATAGGCGAAATAAAAGTTCTTACGACAAAATCAATTCATCTCTTATTTCGAACAGTATTAGAACATTTTTTTGAAATTGTTGCCGAGTATTAATTTCATTTGCATGTGAGCATAATTCAAGTTTCACTATAGATAAGTTTTAAATTCTGTTGGACTTCGTAGGCACATTGATATTTTTACTTTGTCAACTGCGTAGTTCGTTAGTTTAGTGCTATATCTACATTTGAAACATTTTTTAGCTAGAAATTTTACGACTATTAAATTTTCATTCAAAGAAATCTGTTTATTCTCTATGAAACTTGAACTTTTGATTAAAAATAGACATTAATAAAAACAGAAAACTCTTGATCCATTGAAAATGTCTTTCTATGTTATGGTGATTGAAAGAACAAGCAATAATAAAGTATTATTGCAATTGTTTTGTCATTTATTCTGATAGAGCAATTCTCATTAAAAGACTATCAAAATATTATATTTTATTTTATCGATTTGATATCTTTCATCTTAAATCCAACAGCAACTATAATTTAGGGCATATAAACTAATGAAGTCTACTTCTTCTTTGATGAAAGAAACAATATTTATTTTCTGTTTCCCCATGGCAATCCTAAAAATGATATCATTCTCCTATGAAAGGCTTGATGATTCCAAAATTGTATCAGTTGAACTAGGGATAAAATACGAATGAATTTACACATTTTTAGAAACGTGCTTAAAACGAACGTATCGGTTTTTGTCAAAACCGCTTGAATAGAAAATATTTGTGTCGTATTTATGATTCGTATAAACTAGTGATAGATGCTTATTGTATTTTTGTGTATGAGTGAGGAAAAGTTTTGACTGCTATCAGTCATATGCGATTTTTAATAAATGTTACATTATTTTGACAGAAGTCTATGTTACAAAATAATCAAGTAATCTTGCGAAAACTTCTGATTTTTTTTCTTTACGAAATGTCCTCGAAATATGGAAAGACAAACTGGATATAAACTTCCGGCTTTCAGCATTAGTTATAACCCATTCGCCAATCATTTCATCAGATTTCAATCGAATGGACTTATGTTGTATGATAGAAAAGTTTCTATTTCCTGTCAGATCATTTCAATGATTATGACACTAAAAACTGCGTCCGATCTAATTCAAGAGCATATATCACTTATTGATACTTTTCTCGAAATTTTTTAGAACTTTTTTTTTTCTCAGAAATTGGTAAAAGATTATGCCAATCTATGGTATCATTTCTCATATGTATTATAAGGAAAATGCCATCAGAAAATAAACTTGTAAATAGTTAACAAAGAAATTCATTTATGCTTAATCCACTGTCACCATAGATTGAACATTACTTTCTTTAATAGCAAGTTCAATAATATGAATACTAAATAGGTTCAAAAAAGGAATAATATGTGATTACGAAATGAATCCGAACGTTTTATGACCTTTTTGGCTATGATCAAAGTGTAGTATCTGTTCTTGTTGGTTTGAAAACCGGCGCTGCGCTCTCATTGGAACCAGTGAGTTTCAAACGGATTTTTGGATATCGGCCAGGACCATCCGAGTTCATTCGCGGACCCTTGCCATGGATTGACTCGATGCTGCAGTACTGTCGAGTTAGATCCACTCCCATTTTATGATCGAAATAGAAATCACAGTATCAATTAAAAATATGAAAATTAGAGGTTTCTTCTTTATTGTTACCTGACAAAATGATCATAAATATCTGTATATAATATTGGTGAACACAGATATACAAAGTACTCGAATAATATCTATCAAAAAACTTGTCACCAATTGAACCAACATAAAGCATAATCATATAACAGCCTCCATTGAATCAATAATACAAAATTGCTATCATATATATTTAGGATTGTCTGTACTTCAAAAGAAACAACTTCAA